TTCTGTCCGAATTTTGGGGTGCATGTTCAAGGATTTTAGGTCGATTTATAGGTAAAATGTAAAGAATAAAGGTTGTTCATATATGTTTCAAATAACTTCCTTTAAAAGTTCTTGGTCATTGGATTCGTGTAAGAAGAGTTATACCCGATTTAGTATGGATAGCTCTAGACAAACTACTACTAGGCAGATTGCTCCATAAGTTTCAAAAATTTGTAATTAATTATGTACTTGGTATTTAGACCTAATTTTTGGATATGTTATAAATATATATGTCTAGTATATGAAATAAAATGGTTAAGATTTAATTATGTTATAAAATTGTAAAATTATTTACTCGATTAGGAGTTGCCTGGTAATAAACCCTAAAACCAAAGAATTAGACTTGGACAAAATTAATGGGTTTGGAATAAACTAAATGGGCTTGGACTAAATAAAATGGAATTGAATAAGGTAAATGGACTTAGGATAAAGTTAATGGGCTTGGATTAAAGTAAATGGACTTGGACATTCTTTTAAATATTAATGAAACTAATGAACAATATTAATGAGCGGAGGTTGTGTTCCCTCTATGAGTATCATGATTGGTATGTGAGCAACGGGTAAATGCCGAGTGTGGATTGGACCGTGAGTATGGCATGAGAATGAAGGGTTGGTACCCAAATTTGGTTGAATGTGATTAAATATGTCATCACGTGCATCATGTGCATAGTGGGTGGTTTAAGACAAGTCAATTGATTGAGAAATGGTTTATACATTTAGGTTTGATAACCTAACTGGAATAAATAGGTATTAGTAGTCTAGTACTCTAGGTCGTGTGCTCGCACTATTAGACGATGGATTCCCGCTAATAGTAGTTACAACGAGAGATAATTCCGTTCTAGCGAGAAGATGATCCGAGGATCATCTGGATGAAATCAAGCTATGTGCTTGCATTGTTAGACGATGGATTTCCGCTAACGATAGTTACAACGAGGGATAATTTTGTTGTAGCAGAAGATGATCTACGGACCACCCGGATGATAAATAGAGTAGATCGGCTAATACCCGTGGTACCCGAGACTAAAATTTATGAGTATGGTGGGAAGTCAAAACAACATTGCATATCACGTGCATCACCCTACTTACCGAGTTTTGACTCACCCTGTTGTTATTTTTATATTGTGACGGAAAAAGGATAAGTTGGTACGGATGCGGTTGGCTCCTCCTAATCGGCTCATGTGAGGCACCATATATTAGTTTTTATTTTATATGTAAATTTGAGGTATGGAGTTCGTGAGAAATTGAATATTTCTGTAATGTTTTATTAATATATTTAATTATGTGATATAAATTTTATCTTAAGGAGTTATATACGTAATGTGTTGTTAAAGTTTTAAAAATATCATAAGAGAACTACTTAGAGTTTAGGGTATGTCGGCGTAACGCGTTTTGTCTAGTAATCTACTTGGGTAGTAGAAATATGACCGGGACGGGGCGTTACATGTATGCTCTTCAATGCAAGTCTACCTAAATTTTTTTAAGGTGAAACGATCAACACTATGTGCTACTTAGTGAATATATCTCCATTGACTCGTTATTGAATATAAGTCACCTAAAGTGGTATAGTATGGTTTTCCTATTGATTACTCTTCTTTAAGATTATTTGGATGTTCTAGCTTATGCTCATATGAATGAAGAAAAATTATATCGAGCGTAAAGAAATACATATTTATTGGATATGTCAATGGAGTAAAAGAATATAGAATGTGGTGGCTTGATCTTAGATCTCTTAAATTTATTATTTGTAGATATGTCACTTTTGATAAATCTTTTATGCTTTATTCTTAAAAGAAAATTATTAAGACATGTGATTATCAAAGTGACAAACAATAGGTGGAGGTGGAGTTCGAAGCTTCGTGGAATGGTTAGAAGAAGAAGAGGGGCAATATGAGGATGTCCAAGAATCACAAAGTACAATATTACTATAGGGGGCAACGTAGATAGATTAAGCCACCCTAGAGGTATGCTTATATGGATATCATTACTTATACTTTTTCTATTATAGAAACTATTGAAGAAGAAGATGGACCTTTCATACACCGTGCACCATCATAAGCAAAGAATCTACTCAATACATTGGTTCTATAACGGAAGAGATTGAGTCTTTTTGGAAAAAAAAAATCGGATATGGGATTTAGTCAAACCGCTTAAAGGCAAGAAAATTTTTGATTGCAAATGGGTTTTGTAAAAGAAGAAGAAGAAGAATAAAGGATTTTAGGTGTTGAGGATACAAAATAAAAGGCATGTTTAGTAGCTAAAGGTTATAGTAAGAGAGAAAGGATTCCAAGCAGTGCGGATGCAAGGTACAATGCATGCTTGGTAGCTAAAGGCTACGATCAAAGAGAAGGCATTGAATTTAATGAAGATTTTTCACCATTGGTAAAAAAAAATTTCTATTTGTGTGTTACTTGCTATGGTTGCTTTATATGACTTAGATTTCGAACAACTTGACACCAAAATTTTTTTTTTTCATGGAGAACTTGAATAAAAAAAATTAAATACATCAACTTGAGGGATTTTTCATCGAGAAAAAGAAGACCGTGTTTTTTTTTTGTTGAATAAATCATTATATGATTTGAAGCAACCACTAAGATAGTAGTATAAGTATTTTTATTCATTTATGATTGATCAAGATTAGTCTGAAGTAATTATGATAGCTGTTTGTATTTTAGAAAGCTTCTAAATAATTCTTTTGTATGTTTTTTTATTATATATTAATGATATGCTTATTATTACTAATGGTATATCGAAATCAAGAAGTTGAAATCTCAACTCGGTACTAAGTTTGAGATGAAAAAGTTAAGGCTCGTTTGTTTGATGGAAAATAACTTTCATTAGGAAAAGCAATTCGGAGAAGTTATTTTCCGAAAAGTTGTTTTTCAAAAAATATCTTCCGACTTTTTGGCAATTATATAAAAAACTTATTGAAAAATATATTTCGGTATTTGTTTGATACGGAAAAATAAAATACAAAAACAGGCTATGATTGTTACATCAAGTTTTGAGGAAACTTTAATGAGTTATGGATGGTAGCTTCGTGGGTTTTAAAGAGTTATGATTGATAGCTTTTGGCGTTTTTAGGCGCTAGGGTTGTGTTTTTGGATGATGGGCATAAAGGATGATGATGGGTGTGGAAGATGATGATGGATGACTTTTGGTCATTTTAAAGAGGATAGTTTTTTCAATTTTTTTTTTAAATGATGGCTCCTTCTTTGGAAAGAGACGAATAGAGGCTTTTATATTGAGGTTCTTAGGGTTTTGGGTAAAAACCCAATTTAGCCTTCCCTTTATCTTTTTTCTCACTTCCATACTTTATCTCTTTATTTTCTCCATAGACACACCTCCAATTGATTTTTTTTTCAATTAAGTCTTCAATTAAAATTTCTTTGGTCCTAATTTTTCATATATATATTTTTTAATTAGACCCAAATCCAATCTTTTTATTATTTATCTCCTTTTTTTTTTTTTTTTTTTTACTTTTCTTTTCTCGCTTTTTTCTCTTTTTATTTTTTGTTTAAAATTTTAAAAAACGAATGGGGTATGAATGGTGTTAACACTAGTTAGGAGTGAACAATATTTGAATTAAACCAAAAAAACCAAACTCGAACTAAATTATCAATTCCAGTTTAGTTTTGATAGAAATTTATTGAAATAAAAATCAAATAGAATTTATTTTGGTTTTTAGGTTCGATTCGGTTTTTGAGATTTAAGAATCAATTTCAACCAAAACCAAACAACCCTAATTTTAAGATGCTTAAGATTTCAGCCAACTAAAGCACAAGAAAAACTAGATGTGTTTTGCAGCTTTAATCACATCCTCTTATTTGGTGTTTTTTTTTTCAACTTGGGATAACTGAGGACAAGAAAAGCCAGACTTGTTTTATAGTCTTAGACCCATCTTTTTCATAACTATAAATTTGCCCCGTCCTTATTATTTCATAATTTTAATTTTATTTTACATAGGATATGTTTGATATGAACATTTGTTTTTATGTTTAGTATTATTCTTGTTATTGTTGTTAGGTTTGGTTTCATTTAATTCTTAAAATTTTTAGTTTAATTTCTCCTTTATTTTATTACCAAAAAAAAAAAAAAACAGAGAAAGAAAGAAAATATTTTTTTTTTAGGTTACTTTCCTTTTTATTCTATTACATTACCATAAATGTGAAAATACAAAAAAGGAAATAGATAAAAATATAAAAAATGGGATTAAATACTAAGAAAGTATGATCAAGGATGCAATTGAACAGAATTAAAAAGAATAGAAACCAAAAGCAAGGAATACAGGGTTGTAATTGCAAAAAAAAAAAAAAAAAAAAACAAAATTGAAAGAATGAAGGATCAGCTTGAAACTTTAGAAACAACGCCTTTTTTGAATAGTGAACGTACTGTTCACTATCTCGATTGGCTGTTTTGCACCCACTTCTTTTGGCATTTTTCTTCTTATATCGTAGTCATGTCACGTTTTGTCCTTCCTCTCCAACTGGTTTTGTACTGATCACACCTCCTTAGCACCAAGACAAGACACACACACACACACCCACTGGTTTTCCTCTCCCTTCTATATTACCCTAAAACCCGCCGAGCACAATAACAAAAAAGAGGAGAATATAACAATAAGGGAGCATCCATTTTTGTTTTAATGAAGAAGGGTCAGGATTTGAAAAGAGATATCAAGCGTGGAGAGTGGAGAGGAGAATGAGGATAAGTAGCAGACGAGAAGAGCAAGAAAGGAAGAGAAGAAGAAAAAGAGTTTTGGTGGTTTGAAGGTTTTTTTGTTTTTTTTTTTGTTTTGAGAGGAACTATCAAAATACAAAAAAAGAGTAGGAACCAAGAAACATTATTAGTTTTGGGAAGAAAAGACCTAAAATAGAGAAAGAAAGCATGAGGTTTTGGGGCTTTTCATTTTCTAGCATTGAAGAAGAGAAACAAAGGAAATCATAGATAAGGAAATTCACACTTTAAGCATCGGTACCATCTTCGTCAACTCTACTTCTCACAGTTACCAAGCTCCAAACATGTATCACCATCGTTTTCTTTTTTTCATTTTGCAGTTCAGACCAGTTCCCATTCTTGTCCCTGTGTCTTCCTAAGTCTCTGAAAGCTTAAATATTTCACAAATTTAGGGACAAAGAATAATGGCTTTCCTACTGTCACCATGTGAAAGCACATAACTTTGAGAAATTTTGTCCAATTTTGTTTGGGTTCCATTTTCTATTTTCTGATAAATAACTTGACGATTGACATTTTCATTCCATGGCCATTGAGGGACTAAGTTTGGTTGTCTATTTTGCATAGAGACCATAACAGTAGAAAGAGGAGAATGAGATTTGGTTTGGAGATAGGTTATTCTATTGGGGGCTTTGGTTTAGGTTGAAATGGAAATGATGACTGTTCGTTGTTGAGGCATAAACTGTAGTTTGTACAGGGAGAAGAAGAAGAAAAAGAAGGAAGACGAGTTGGGAAGAAGGAAAAAAAAAGAGGCTTGGGCTGGGTTTAGTGTTTAGGTTGGACTGGGTTGTAGAATCAGGAAGCAAAACAAAGGCCTAGGAATGCCTAAAGCCCAAAGTCTTGGCTGGGCTAGGGCTGCAAGTTTGCGTTGGAGAAACAAAACAACAAAAGCCCAAAATGATGGTAGGCCTGTTTTGTATGATAATAAGGCTAGGCCTCCGAGCCTATTGGTGTGAAAAATGGGACTTTTTCTTTGTCTTAGGTGTGAACGAAAGTGGGCTTTACTTTATAGTTGGGCTTGATTTGGGCCATGGCTAGACCAATGGGCCTCCAAACAAACAAAGTTTTAATTTTAGGATTTAGTTTTAGATTTTAATTATTTTAATAAGGCTGCCTTAATTATTTTGACCTGAATTTTTTGTATGTGTTACATATGCTTATCCTTGGTTTGTGTTTAAAATTTCATAATGTTTGAAGTCCATTTATTATTTATTTGGAATTTATTTAATATTATATCTAATTTTTAATTATTTTGATTGTCGAGGGAATTTAATTATTTAGCTCACTATTTGGTTTTATTTTAATCCAACATTTTTTAAGATATGCTTGTGTGTTTATGTGTATGTTGTGCATCAAGTTTCATAATTTTATGGCTTAATCTTCTATTTACTTAGTATTTATCATTGTTCTATAATCCATTTTAATTACTAATGTGTTTTATTTTAGGAATTGATTTTCTTTAATTTCAGTACTTTTATTATTTTGATATGAAATTTCTAGGATTTTTACATATATTCATCCATGTCTTGTGTATCAATTTTCATAATTTTTATAATTCATTTGCTATTTTCTTGTAATTTATTCCAAACGTTAGAATTTTTAAAGTAATATATTTTATTGTTTAGTTAACACGATATGGATCGTTAAGTCTCCTAAATTTTAGGAACCGATAACGATCCATCATCAAATTCATCGCACTAAAAAAAAAAAAAAACAAATATGCCATCTTAGAATAGTTAGGGAATTCAAGTTGATTTAGCGAGTCTCTTATTTAATAAGGACGGATGTTATCTTTGACATAAAAAAAAAACCACAACCAAAAAGTCAATGAAGAAAAATATAAGTCGGATATTATTATCGGTTAGGTCGTTCTTCGATATGTCGGTCATGTTATAACTTAATTAGATTTGATGTTGAATTGATAAGACTTTCGATTTCAAAGTTTGACATCAATTTAATATGATGCCACAATAAAAATAAAAAATAAAAAATTTGATTTAGACAATAAATAGACTTAGAAATAAATTTTGGAAATAATTTGGTAAAATAAATTCTAAAAAGATATATTTTAAGACTAAATTAGACATAATATATATATATATATATATATATATTTTGAAAAATGGAGCATTTAGTGATCATTATCTTCTTAAAGACTTACCAATCTTACCTGCAATCTTTGAATCGAATGCTTTTTTTTTTTAGGTTTTCTAGTTTTTTTTTTTTTTTTTTAAATACTAAGTGATGACTCGAAAACATTTGTTATAGCCTTAGTCCCATCCTCCTCGTTTGTTTGTTTTTTCTTTTCAATGTGGAATAAATGAACACAAACACAACTAGAATTGTTTTGTAGATTTAGTCCCATCCATCTATTTTTTTTTTTTTTTTAATGTGGAATACATGATTGTGCTCATGTATAAGAGATTATTGTTGGGATGTTTTAAAATGTCTTTCATGTTCTAAGAGATTGTTGATATGAATATCACTTTAGAATATGTGTGGGGCTTCTTAAGTGTCTTAGGGTTTTTTTACTTCAACCTTATAGGTCTGGTTTTGGGCTAACCTAGCTATTAAGCAAAACTATCATAACAACTTAGTTTTATGGAGTACTTGGTTTGGTTCTTATTGTTGGCTTTTGTGGAATTGTCATAATAAAAGCGTCTTTGATGACTATTTTATGCCTCCTTCAAGTTTGGTGTAATTTGTTCTTTAAATGCTCAAATTACTACTAACATCGAATTGGCATAATATGAGGCTTTTGTTGGGTGACAAAAGCTTCCTAGAGATTAGACTATTTTGAGCACTAATGGTGCTTTTGTAGTTCCATCACCACGTTTACTAATAGTGGCGTTTTAGGTGATGAATCAAGTATCTAAAATCAAGGCTTCTCTTATCAAATTAGAATTTGTTAGGTTTTGTGTGCTAAACTTTAGTGGTATCCTCATTGGATCGAGGATGACATAGACTACTCGGTTATAGACAAGTATTTTTTGAATCTAATTCTAAAATTGCTATTCAATTACTGAATGGTCAAAATAAAAATAACGATGATTATAGTTCATTGGTTTCTACCATTTGTAATCTAATTCAAAGATCATTGTATGTTCGCATTTCACAATCTTATAGAGAAGCTAATCGTAATTTGGATTGACTTGCTTTTTATGTCTATTCCCTTTCATTAGAAGTTACTTATCATTTACCCCTCGTTTGGATAATTCCTCTTGGAAGGAAAGAAAAGTGAGGAAAGAAGGTGAGAGAAAGAAAAAAGAGAGGAAAGAAAATCATTTTTCACTTATTGTTTGGATAAGAGTGGAAAGGAAAGGAAAGAAAATACATTTCTTTTGTTTGGATAATTGTAAAAAGAGGAAGGAAAGAAAATGTATTATTGTATATTTACTATAATACCTTTTTGATTATATTTATATATTTAAATACTTATAATAAATTTTTATGAATATTGTTTCATGAAAATAACACAAATGATGATAAAAAAAAATATATAGCATGTAGCATATATCCGAAATGATAAGATAGATAATGAATCGTCTCCATAGAATAATCGATAATCGTTTATTAATTAATTAATCCAATAGCCAATTTAGATTAATTATCAACATAAAATTAATTTAAATATGTATAATATGTATTATTATCTATGCATATGATAAGTTAGTTGCTTTTACCCATCATTTCTCCGCTTTATACGTTATTAGTTAATAAAAAAAATTAGCGAAGCACTTGATTGATAATTTTTTTAAAAAAATCAATACACTCAAATGAAAAAAATTAAAATTTATATACTAGGTTAAGAAAAAGATAAAAAAGTATATACTCATAGTGTAATCATCTATAAAATAATGTTTATTTTCACTAAGTAGAAAATTCAAACAAGTAACCATAGCGTTTGAATAGATTAATGTTTTATTTGGTATTGTTTTTATAAATTGATTCAAATTGTTATTTAATTTTTAATTCATAAAAAAACACATGAATATGTTTAGTTATGATAATTTTTACTTAAATCAGAATTTCATAATACTAAAAATTGAATCATAATTTTTCCTTAATTAAAAAGTTCAAATTTTTAACCTATTGATTCTAACTTATACTACTTCCTTCTTTCAAAAAATTGTTTTGACAAGTATGTTTTTAATTTAGCTCTTTTTTATCGTTAGATATTTATATATATAAAACTACTTTTTGCATGTGATATCAAAATGATTCTAATTTTGATAAATGCTTAAATGTCGGCATTGAGTTTTTTATTTTATTTTATTTTATTTAAATTGATCAAAACCTTTAACTATAAGCATCTATCTAATAGCTTTTATGGATTTTTAGCAGTTAAAAGAGATTTTTTTTTTTTAAAGGCAATAGAAGAATTTATGAAAAATTCTCTAATTATACCACGTGATACTAGATGAGCTTTTAACATTGTCCAAAGAGAGAATTTCATTTTACATGCAAATTGGTCTGAAGACATCATTTATTTTATCAAATGAAAGTAATAATATTTAGCATTTCTTAATTATTTTTCAAAATTTTATTTTTAAAAATTATATATAATAAGATATTTTTGGATTAGTTTTTTTATTAAACGAAAATAAGTTCGTATTTTTTTATGCTAAATTAATACTAAATCACACTTAATTTTGAATCAATTCTAAAAATGGATTCTTGGAGCTTATTGATAATTTATACCTAATACCACACAAAGAAAAATAAAGAATTTTTCAAAAGTAAAAATCAAATTTAGGATCGAATGAATAAGAAATGTTTTTGGTACCACTACCGAACTACACTCGCAATTCTTGAAGATAGCACCTCCCGATTAGATTACACTCCCATCATGTAACTTTAATTAAAGAGATATTACAAGATAACACTAGCATTAAGGAGATACTACAAGGAAAAGATTAAATTCAGTATTCCGTACACCGCCTCAACCGGGCCGTCACCGTCGAATTTCCAAAATCTCCATCACATGTGACGGATTCAGCGAGAGAGAGGGAGTGGGTTTGCAAAGGCAGAGGCGAGATCGGTTGAGAAACGAAGGGAACGACGAGCAAGGGTGGAAATGAAAGATGGGTTTGCAGAGATTCGATGATGGGTCGTGTGTAAGCGAGAGCAAGAGAGTGGATTTGCGCGAGAGACGAGATGGGCGGGGAAGAGAAAGAGAAAGAGCGCCGGACAAGGACGTAACCGGAAAAAAATAAAAATAAATCAGTTTTCTTTCGTTTTTCTCCCCATTTCCTCCGAATTTTAGGAGGAAAATAGGTCCCACCACTTATAGATTTGTTTAATATTTTTTTTTCTTTCCACGACTTTCTTCTTCAAACCAAACGGAGGAACATTTTCATTTCCTTCCTATTTTCTTTCCTCTCCCCCACTTTCCACCCTATCCAAACAAGGGGTTAGTTATTCCTTTAAGAAGTTTAAGTCTCTTGTTAGAAGCTATTTATAAAGTTGTGACTCACTAGCTTGGAATTTGAAACATTTCCTCCTAGAGCTTTGCCTCTCCTTGTATACAAAAAGAAAATAATAATAATGAAAACAAATAAGTACTTTTTTGGTTCTAAATGATTACATGTTAAGTTCATTAATTTTATTCATGTAAATTTAATTTTATTTAATAAAAAAGTTAAAATAAACTTAGTAAATGGGCACCCATCGGATCTTAAACTAGTGTTTTCTATGTACCACTAGTCGTCGTGCCTTGCATTTGGGTGTGTGTGTGTGTGGATATTTTGCATAGTTGATGGTGATTGCATTACCAATGATTCAATAATATATTTTTCTAATTAAATTCAGGTATTGTAACTTAATAAAATCTAATGAAATTATTTGGTCATTCGATATTCATCAAACTCAAGTATCCATTATAGAATCCCAACAAACTTCCAAATATGATCACTTATTTTACTTAGAAATTGATTCTAAATGAAAGTTTCGTGATATATGTAATATGATATTTTAAGAGAATGGTAGCCAATTATTGAAAATATTAGAAGGAATTAATAAAGAGAAATAGAATAGTGTCGTGTGTGGATTGAATTTATGGGCGAATAATATATTTAGCCCATTATGTTTTTTCTTTTACGGGTATGAGGTATTTAAATCTCTTTATGACTTTGTTTAGGAAATAGAGTGGAGGACAGAGACTTTGTATTGAGCCTCTAGGGTTTTTGTATTCTCTTGCTATCAAACTAATAAAATTTCTCTCTCGTCCTTGGAGTAGGTAATTTTTTGAATCACATAAATCCTATGTGTTGATAATTTGTTTAGTTTTATTTTTTATTATTTTTCTACCATTACTTGTCTTGTTTTTGTTATTTGTCATAACAAATTGGTATCAAAGCACATGTTGTGCATCTTTGGATTTTTTGTTTGTAATGACAGACTTTAAAATTTGATGTTACTCCTTTTGATGGTCAAAATAATTTTGGTATATGGAGGATAAAGATGAAAGATTTGTTGTAGTGTGAAGGTTTTATCAAGGCAATTAAAGGTATATATCTAAATGACATGACTTCGTCAAAATTGAAAAGATGGATGAGAAGGCTCATGTTCTCTACAATTATCATTGTCAAATAAAGTATCTTAAGAAGTCGTAAATGTATAGATGGTGACAAGAATATGGAAAAAGTTGAAAATCCTCTACTTGAAGATATGAGAAGGTACATCTATTTAAGAACACCTTGATGAATTTAATAAGATTGTTATAGATATAAAAAATCTTGATATTAAACTTGATAAGGAAGATCAAGCTCTTATTGTATTATATTCATTACCTGCTTCGTATGAGAATTTTGTTAATTCAATATTATACGGTAGAGAGTCTATAACTTTAGAAGATGTTAAGGCCTCTTTGAATTTCGTTGAGCTGAGACATAAGCTGAATGGTAAAGTTTTTGATAGTCAAGTCGATGATTTGCTAGTAAGAGGAAGACAAAAGGATAAAAAGGGTTATAAAGAAAGTCCTAAATTTTGTTCTAAGTTTAGATCAATCCCAGTATAAGAAAAAAAATTGAGTGCTACTACTATCATAAGAAAAGTCATTACAAATCAGATTATCTTGCTCTAAAGAAGAAGAAAAAACCACAAGGTCAAAGTTTTGAGATTGCTAATATGGCGAAGGGTACCGATGTTGATGCCGCTGAAAGTGTTCTTATTGTACGTCTTTTAGATGGTTGTTACGATCAAGAGTGGATTTTGGATACCGAGTGCTTCTTATCATATGTGTCCAAATAAAGAGTAGTTTACCACTTATGAATCCGTAAGTGGTGGCTATTTTGATACATAATAATTCAACTTATGAGATGGCTAGTATTGGTATAATTCATATCGAGTGTCATGATTTGATAGTGAGAACTTTGACGAAAGTAAGACATATACCGGATTTGATGAAGAATTTAATTTCTTTAAGCTATCTAGATTCGAGAGGCTATGACTATTCCGATAAAAGTGGAATTCTTAAGGTTTCTAAGAGTTTTTTTTGGTTATGATGAAAGTAAATCAAATTAATCATCTCTATATGTTACAAGGTAACACGAGAATGAGCTCTAAAAGGGTGATTACTTCTTACTGCGAAAAGGAAAGGACTCGATTGTATCACATGTGTCTAGGCCACATGAGTGAAAAAGATATGACTACTCTAAGTAAATGTGGTTTATTTTGTGATGATCACATGATATCACTTGATTTCTATAAGCATTGTATTTTAGGAAAACAAACTAGAGTGTAGTTCTCTATTGGCATTCATTTTACAAATGGCACACTTGATTACATTCATTCGGATATGTGGGGACTAGCTCGGGTTCCATCCAAAGGTGATGCACCTTATTTTCTAACATTTATTGATGATTGATCTCAAAAGGTTTGGTTTATTTTCTTAAACATAAGAGTGATTTTTTTCGAAACCTTCAAGCAATGGAAAGTTCTAATAGAGAATCAAACAAGAAAGAAGCTTAAATGTCTTTAAATATATAATGGCTTGGAATTCTATAGTGAAAATTTTAATGAGTTTTGTATAAACTCTAGGATTTTCTCGGCATCTCATAGTTAGGCACACTCCTCATCAAAATAGGGTGGCAGAGCACATGAACAGGACTTTGATGAAGAGAGCTAGATGTATGCTCTCTAATTTGAGTTTGGAGACAGATTTCGGACTAAAGTAGTTAACATAACTTGTTGTCTTATCAACCATTCTCCCTCTACTACTATTGATTATAAGACTCTAAATAAGGTATGGTTAAGTAAGCCTAGTGATTATTGAAATTTAAAAGTATTTGGATGCCATGCTAATTATCATGTTAAAGATGGTAAACTTGAACCTAGAGCAAAGAAATGCATAGTTAATGGTTATATTGATGGAGTGAAAGGTTATCATCTATGATACCTTGAATCAAATTCATCTAAATTCATTATTAGTAGAGATGTTATTTGTAATGAGAAATATATATTTGATCAAGTAAAGATTATTTGTGATTATACAAGAAAGAGTGAGAAAACCGTGGATAAGGCGAGCTTTAGGTGGAGTTTAAAAAAGAGACTCCTAAAAACCCATCCCAAGATGTATCCCATACGATTCTCGACATGCAATAAGATTTAGATATGAATAAAGATGTAACATAATTTGAACAACCTTACTCAATAGCTACTAGCCGAGAAAGGAAATAGATAAGACCTCCTTAGAGATATTCTTATTATGATCTAAGTAGCCTATGCCTTTATTAGAGTTGAGACAATGAGTATTCAAGAACCTTCTACCTATACGGAGGTAGTGATTTATGAAGAGTCTAGTCGGTGGGCTATTATAATGACAGAAAAACTCGAGTCACTCTATAAAAATCAGACTTGGGATTTGGTGAAATTACCTAAGGGTAACAAAGTCATTAGATGTAAATGGGTCTATAAGAAGAAGGCGTAAATACTAGGTGTTGAAGATGCTAGATTCAAGGCATAATTAGTGGCTAAGGGTTATAATCGGAAAGAGGGAATTGATTATAATGAAATATTTTTTTTAGATTATAATGAATTTTTTTTTTTAGTTACGAAACATACCACTATTTGTGTGTTGCTTGTTATGGTGACTCAATTTGATTTGGAGCTCAACCAACTTGATGTGAAAATAGCTTTTTTGTATAGAGAGCTTAAGAAAAATATTTATATATCTCAATGAGAGGGATACTTTATGAAAGGAAAAGAAGACCATGTTTGTAGATTGAAGAAATCTCTCGTATGGTCTAAAACAATCATTAAGGCGAGTGGTATAATTGGTTTAATATTTTTATGCTTAATTATGGTTATTCGGGATCTACTTATGATAGTTGTGTATATTGCAGGTAGTTAGCATATGGATCTTTTGTGTATGTCTTATTATATGTAGATGACATGCTTATTGTTGTCAAAAAATATCAAAAATTCGGATGTCGAAGAAATAGTCGAGTGATAAATTTAAGATGAAAGATCTCGGAGTATTGAAGAAGATATTAGGTATGGAGATTCATAGACATAGAAGGATAAAAAATTATATCTTTCACGGAAAGGATATATTGAGAAAGTGCTTAAGCGTTATAGTATACAAAAAGCTAAACATGTCAATACTCTATTGGTTGCTCACTTTAGACTTTTAGCTTCTCGATCATCTCGGAATGAAGAAGAAGAGAAAAAAATATCACGAGTTTCATATTTTAGTACGAGTAGGTAGTATAATGTATGCTATGATCTACACTCGTCTAGACATTGCTCGAGTAGTTTGTGTTATGAGCAAATATATGGCTCATCCAGGAAAGTGCATTAACAAGCGAGTGAAGTGGATTCTTAGGTATCTCAAAGGTACCACATACTTGGGTTTAGTCTTTTGAAGGGGAAATGCTTCGAAAATTCTTTTGTAGGCTTTATAGATTTTGATTATGTAAGTGATCTTGATAAAAAGAGATTTTTGATAGGGTATATCTTTACACTTTTGGAGTCTATTATAAGTTGGAGATAAATATTCAAAGCGATAGACTGCTTTGTCGACTACCGAAGTAGAATATATGGCAGCAGTTAAGGTTGTGAAGGAGGTTATTTGGTTGATAAACCTTACGGAGGAACTTGGTCTTCAACAAGAAGAAATTTAGTTGTTTTTTATGACAACTAGAGTGCTATACACTTAATCAAAAATCAAGCACATCATGAGAGGATCAAGCATATTAATATCATGTATCATTTCATCCATGAAGTAGTTTCGACAAGAAAATTATAGTGAAGAAAGTTCATACTAAAGATAATCCAACTAATGTATTAAGTAGGCTCGTTACAACAAATAAGTTCATGCATTGTTTGGACTCGATTGGTATGAGAAAATCACAATGTGCTATTGAAAAGATAGGCTAAGTCATATGAAAGAGATAGATACGATCGTGTGAGTTTTCTTATCTCTCCCGTGCTTCATGCTTCTACCCATATGAAGCACTTGTCTTGTGCCCGTGTAATGCTTATGCTCGAGTGAAACATTTATCTTGCAACCGCACCTAATGCTTTTGCTCGTGTGACTTTTCTTGTGGTCGTGTGGTTTTGTGATTTGAAAAGTGAATCACGAGGGTGTCTTTTTATTACTTATGCTTGTGCCTCGTGAAACCGCCCATGTGGTTTCTTTTTCTTTTGAATTAGAGAGTGAAGCATGGGTGTGTCACTTTGTTGCTTTAGCCATATGGTTTGCCTTTGCCCTATGTGCCTTAAGCATTTGTTTGTACATGTTAGGGTTTTTGTTAGAAAGAAGGAATTTTGTTATTCCTAGTGTTGAAGTCAATATTTTCTCTCTTCACATCTTTTATTTTTTACATCGAGTTAGCTCACGTAAGCTTAGAGGTGTGTTTTGAGGAATTACTTGATGTTCTTGAAGGTTTGCAAAATTCAAGGCAAGGTGGACATTTGTTGTGTGTGGCTTGAATTTATGGACCAATAATATATTTAGCCCATTAGGTTTTTTCTTTTACGGGTATGACGTATTTAAACCTCCTTATGACTCTGTTTAGGAAATAGAGTAAAATACAAAGACTTTATATTGAGCCTCCGGGGTTTTTGTATTCTCTTACTATCAAATTAATAAAACTTTCCTATCGCCTCTAGAGTAGGCAATTTATCTAAATCCCGTGTATTGATAATTTATTTAGCTTTATCTTTTTATTATTTTTTATCGTTACTTATCTTGTTTTCGATGTTTATTATATCAAATAGAATAGGATAAATAAAAATATAAATAAAAAATATAATAAACTTATTTATCATGGCGTATAATCACTATCCTTAAGAGTAAATCACGTCTCTCAAAAAGCATTTCTTGGTGCAACAAGTTAAAGATATATATTTTACCTTCAAAGAAACAACAATCGATCATATACAAGTGTGTACTCATAATTAATAAACACAAGTGAATGCTCAATCCTACTCCTCAAAAGAGAGTTGCGTTTAAATTTTTTTAAAAACAAACAAACTATTTTTTAAGAGAAAACACTATTATTTTATTTATCTTTTCATACTAAATGCTTAATAATGTTTATGGTTATATAATTAAAGTGAGAATAAATGATAAATTAATTATTAAATTATAATTAGTTGTTTTAATAAACTTAAAACAACCAAGTAACAACTATGTAATGGTTAGTAATAGTTGTAATAAATATTAATAATAGTTAAAAAAAATTTAGTATCACAATCATTGATAATATTAGTGTAACTATTCTTCTATTAATAGTTAAAGAAAATTATGTTTAAATTTTTTTAGAATAAAACACTATTCTTAGGACAAAACTTCATCATTTTATTTCTCGTCATACCAAATGTTTAAGAATGTTTATGCATATATAGGAAAATATAAAAAATAATTATTAAATTATAACTAATTTTTTAATAAACTCACAATGGCTAGTAATAGTCATATGATGACTATTAAGGATTGTAATAATTATCAATAGTAATTAAAATTATTTATTATTATAATAATTAATTATATTAATATTACTATAATTTTTTTGTCTTTTAATAAAAATACAAATATTAAAAGCCAATTATCATTCTTACATGGTAAAAAAAAAAAAAAAAAAAAAAAAAAAATCTCAATCAACATGATGTCAGGTGTCGAGACATCACATTTATCAAAATTCCACTCAATGATACTTATTAAATGTTAGAGAAATCACATTTTATTACATTCGTTTTATTATTATTATTATTGTATTAAGACTGTTACCTTTCTTTCTTCAGTTTTTTATTTTATATTTTCATCATACGACTGAGATTTCTGAAAATGGATCATCATATTTCGGATTTTTTAATAATCATTAAGGCATGGAATGAAGCAAAGGTCCCCTAGAAGCCACCAAAACAAAACTAAAAGGTCGCCGCACCATAACAAAGACATGACAACGTATAATAAGATACCAACAGTGCCTCAATATGAAATTTGTTACCAAACAAGTGCTGGATTCACTCATTTACCAACCAAAACCAAACAAAAATTTGTGAAACAAAAATAAATCCCAAAACTTGGAGCCACAACAACCAACGAATTTTCTTTTTCATAAATGTAACCACCCAAATTATCTCTTGGTCATCAAAATATAACGCCCAAACAAACAAATCTAGACCTTCTCACTCCAATCTTTCTCTCCTCCCTTGCCTCACATGGCCAAGATTTAGGGGTCACTTTCAAAGTCCAGCAACATATCCAAATTTATACATATCCACTCTCCTTCAAAAATTATTAATGGGAAAAGGGAGTAAAGAACTACCTAGTACATGGTCTCGTAGAAAGAAACAGCTGGACTGCCTAAGATAGCACAGGAAATCAGCAAAAAAGAAAAAAAAAAAAAAAAACAAACTAGTATGCTACTATATATTTATATATATATATATATGTAGTTCTTCATAACTTCAAATTCAAATCAATGTTTTCTCCTACTTCACCACCATGAGTGCAATTATTAATAGTCTTTGCTGGTTGGCCAATTTGCATTAATGATGGGGGCAGGAAGCAATAGTATGTCTGCTGTTGATTTGTCACAATTGATCCTGGCTGCTGGAGAAATTGATCTTCCACGTTGCCCTTTAACAAAATTCATGAAATAAAAGAGTAAGTAGATAAAATTGCTGAATAACAGAAATAAGTTCGATAGAAATAAACATTTGTTGTTTAATTATTCTCACTTGATACGGCAGTGAATCAAAATCAAAGGGTTCGAAGTTATGGAAGGCTAGATAAGCTGAAGGCTTGAGCTTGAGATTTTTAGATGTCAAACCAGTAGCTGGGGGGGCTAGAGTTAGAAAATCTCCATTGCAAGCCCAATTTTCTTTGATGTCTTTCTTTGAAGTAGGTTCCATGATAGAACTAGAACATGAGGAGCCTTCTCTAAAATGGGCAAAGGTATAGAATAAAAACACTCGTAAAGTAGAATATGTAAATATATATGCCATGAAGAACAAGATTAAGGGAGGAAAAAAAAAAAAAAACCTGCAATCTGGGCTGCTGAAACTGAAATTATACAAGCCTCCATTGCCAAATGAAGACGTAGTAGGACACTTGTACTGGAAAGAAGAAGCTGGTGGATTGTCCAGTGAAAAGGGATATGGCCTCTTCATGCCAACCATCTATACTACATTTGACACAAATTCACAGACAAGAAAGCTTTCCCATTATTTTCTTTCAATACAAAACCGACAGCATTCCCATTAGGACTTCGACAAATTAGTGTATTTTTTTTCCTTTGAATTGTATTCCAGCTCACATTGTTAAAACATCAAGGTATAGACACAATTCTATATAGAAGGAAAAAAAAAGACACCCAGTAAAAAGTTTTAATTGATTATACTAACAACTAAGAAAAAAATATTATGAGTTGAAACGATGTACTACTAATGAATTCATTAACTCGCTGATTAAGAGAAAATTGAAAATTACCTTCTCTTCCTCTATCCAAACAGGTGTATTATATGTATAGTTGTCATAATAGCTTTGGTTTGAAGGGGGCTCCATCTGAAAATTTTGCAAAGATGATGATGAACTTCCTGATGAGGCATTTACCTACACAATTTCCACGAAGTAGTGCAAAGCAAAACTATTTAGAATTTGAAGAAAAAGATCGCACTAACTTAATTTAAGAAAGAAATCAAGAAACCACACATATTTGGAAGAAACTATCTTACCTTTGAACATGAAGAAGAATGTTGCCGATGTTGTTGTGCTCTTTGCATCAAACTAGGAAGGGGCCAAATGGGGTTGGATTCATAATGTAAATTCAAACTAGACCGAAAAGCAAGTCCAGAATCAACCCCACAATTTTCCTTTTCAAGATTGTAATCACTAGAATTCCACATCTTAGGCACATTTTTTGGCCCTTGAACAGCAGATTGCCACCCCACAGAATTTGCAAGGGGAATAGTACTGTTTGGGTTGATTAGTTCTATATTTTGGGACCTAAACATTGAATTTGAAGATGAGAGATCAGGAGGATATGGGATTGAAGAAGAACGAGATTCATAATTTGGTACTGGCACAGAGAAATTGGAAGGTTTGGTTTGTGATGTAGGAGGAGATGGCAAATTTATTGAGACACGATCTTTCTTTTGTTGCTCTTCTAGTCTTATTTTCTCTAGTTGTGCAACACCAAGCCCTCTTTGTGGCACTTTCTTTTGCTTTTGCTTCCTAGAAGATCTACTAATGTGGCCAATACTAATACCACCATCACCACTGCCATTACTAGTGCAACATTTCGTTGGTTGTTCTTCTTGACCCATTATCATAATTATCTTCCATAAACAAAAATAATAATAATAATAATAATTTCAAGACTTCAAAGAAAACCCAAATGCCAAAGGTGGAGAAAAACATAACCCTTACTTTTCATGCTAGCTAGAATTAGCATATAAATACCATTATTTCTGCTCTTCTTGGAACTTTCTTGTCATCAACATCATAATTTGAAGAAACTTCCACATGCAAGAATTTAGACAGCCACAGACTTCCTAAATCTTGATTTTCCTGCAGCTGCTAGTACTAATATCACTGCACCACTATATGTTTTGTTCTTCCTCGAATATCCTTGTTATAAAGGACAGTTTGAAAAGAAAAGTTAAAGAAGCCAGATACAAAGATTTAGAGAGAGAAAAAGAGAACATACCCAAATCTTGAGTTTGAAGAAACCATAATTTGAAATCAAAATCTGACGATTACAACAGCAAAATCTAAAGCAACTTCAAGAATCCAGTTTCAGAAACGAAATGGGAAAAAACAGAAAAGATTACCAAATATCTCGCAAGGTATGCTGTCAAGATCAGTATATGAGAGAGAGAAACCTTTAAGTTAGCCAACCTCTAAGCTAGACAATTAAAGAGAGAGAAAGAAAGTAGCTAGGGACTTGGAAGTGTGGAGAGAGAGCGAGGCGAATCTGAGGAGGTTTCTGAATTTTTGAAACCAGTTAAATTTTATTGTCGGAGAAACAGATTAAGCAATAATAATATATACATTTTTTAAACCTCCTACTTGCACCTAATATATTTATAAATTCATCAAATAAATCCTTGTATTTTCAATTTGATCAATTATATATATATATATATATATTCAATTTCAATTATTTAGATATGATTTTATAAAATTAATAATTTTTTATGTTAAATTAAATAAAAATATAATATATTCATATATAAATACCATGTGAATTCCATTCTATACTGTTTTATTATTTTCTTACTTAATTTAACGTATAAAATTATTAATTTTTTGAAATTGTATTCAATTACTAAAATTAAAAATATACGTACTTAATTCATCAAATTGAAACACATAATTTTATTTGACAAATTTGTTAAAACATAATTTAAGAATAGTGGATTTAGCCTTATTTTGTCTTATTTTTTGCCCAAATTCTCGCTCCACTCTCCTCTTTTCATTCCTAAACCGACTCTCAAGATCTCTCTCATTTTCTTTCTCTCTCAGTCAGATTTCATTTCTCTCTCTAAATTATGTGCTAAATTTTCTAAAAGGAGCAAAGAGCCAAGGTTAAGCAGGCAACGCCACCTTAACTTGTTTGTTTCATTTTAGGTATCTCTTGTTGGCTTTGCAGCCTTTTGGGCCAAAAGTGGGGCCTTCGGATTGTCCCTAACACTCATGCATGGAATTCACCATATCTTGCTGACATTGGATTTTGGGATTGGATATTTCACTAAAAGCCCCTATATATATATATATATATATATATATATATATATATAAGTATTATGTTGGGAAAAAATAAAAATAAATTATAATTTAGTTCTTTTATTAAAAAAATTATTTATTTATTTTAAAAATTAATTATTTAATTTTTTAATAGCTTTGATTTTTCTTAATTTAACATTATTTTATTTTATAAAATATCATCTATTTCTCATCACTCCATCCATAATTAATTTCTTTTTTTATTTCTTTTAAAAAAATCAAAATAAATTAAAAAGAAACAAGTACAAGAAAACGTTAAAATAAAAACAGAATATTTAATTCGTTTTCAAAATCTAAAAGAAATAATTTGTAATTCACTTGAAAAATAATGCTTGATATATTACTCTTTTATTCATTAACTCCATCATTCCTAGAATATTTTAATTAATACTCTATATTTTTTAAAACTAGAAAGAATGTGTAGTAATGTTTTACTTAAATTTTAAAATTTTAGAAGGTTATGATTCCAACTATAAATTTTATTTATTTTTATTTAAAAATACATTAAGAGAAAAAAATCAAAATTGATGGTTTAAAAAATGCTTTACGACATAAGTAAGTTTAACTTAACGGTTGTGTATCTAGTTAGTTTTTACAATGAGCAAGATTCAAGTTTTATCTATTTTTTTTTTTTAATAATTATGTGATGGGGGAGAGATATCTTTATTGTGTAGGCCAAAGGCTTATGGAGAAAAAAAAATCACTCAAATTGAAAGTATGTACCTTTTTTTCTTAATCTTAAAATGAAAGAAAAGTTCGAACACAAAATCTTTTTAAAGGAAAAGGACATGGATATGTACTGAGACAAGCCGATGCAATTGAAAATATTGTTAAATAATAATATTTAGTATTGATGTGATACTAAATATTTAGTGAATTGGCATACGAAATTGAGTCATATATCCAAATTGCCTCATAAGAAAATGTATATATATATATATATATATATATATATATATATATATATGAACATATTTTTCATAGATTGTTCACGTGATCATTCATACTTAATATTTTGACTAATAATTAAATATCGCTCCAATAATAAAAATATAATTTTTTTTATATAGTTTTAACAAGATAATTTAGTTAATAAGTTTGAGATTAATTTATATATATTAAGATTTAACCCAAAATCTCAAACTTAATCATTTTAGAATCTAAACCTTCCAACACATTCCCCACATACGCTAGTATGGGGTCAGCGCATTGATATAGATTCACTTATAAAAGTTTTACAATATTTTAATTAAATATAACAAAAAATCAAATGAGCTAAAATTAAATCTGATGATAATTTATATTAGTAGATAGATAGGATATCAATTACCTAAATTATTAATAAATTAATAGAAATTACCAAGATTGTTTTTCATATTCACTAAAAAAACAATCATTAAATAGCGACGGATCAACTTCGTCACTCAATAGTGAGTACATAGCGATAGAATAACGATGGATTAGTAATGGTTTATTAGCGACGGACGCTAATGCGTCGCTAAATTTGATGGTAAAATCTTCAGAGAGTTTTAAACATGATTTAGTGATGAATTTGCTAGAAAAAATAACGGCGACCATAAGAGACCCTCCTAGCTCTTGGTCTAGCCTTTAGCCAAAACCGACAACAAGTTCCTCGCCTACAATAACTCCCTCTCAAGCAAGTCTTAGTAGCTCCCTCTTAAGCAAACTCTCGTTTTCTTTCTTGTAAAATTTCAAATGACCAAAAGAATCTAGATATAATCTCACCCTCTCTTTATATAGGCTAGTTAAGCATAGAAAAATGCTTAAAAATTCTAGAGGATGACACCTCCTTGCCTAAGTCACTCATGCAAAGGATTGTGGTGACACCTAACTTTTCATGCACTCGAGGAGAACGTAAGGCCCTCTCAAATGTTCAATGTATACAATTAAGTCCCTTAAATAAAGCACAAATCATGCTTAATATGTCATTGTGTGAATTTCATAATAAAGAAACTAATATATTAAGATGTATGGTTGGACATAAAATTCATCAACGAAAAACTAATGTTGCAATAGTGATAGTTTTCGTCGACGTAAATTTAAATGTATGAACATAATATTTTTCATCAATAAAAAATGGCAAGTCCGGATAGTCATTTTCGACGGTAATTTCATAAAGCATACAATAGAGCATGGCATTTGGTAGCAAAATGTATGTTAAAACATGAAATTCATCAATGAGAGCAATAAGTCTAGACGCAATTGTTTCGTCGACGAATAAAGTTTGTCTTAGCATGGTTGTTTCGGTAGCAAAAATGGCTTGTCGAGATGTTGTTGTTTTCGACAACAAATTTGGTATGTCTTAATATAGGTGGTTTTTAGCGAGCAATCACATATAAAATATAAACATTCAGCTAAGTAATTCAAGCACACATAAACATTGATTAAAATTGACATGTCATGACATAACCGATTTTCGATAGCTCATAACATAGTTGATTTTCGACAATGCGGACATCATGTCATGACGTGCCAATCCTCGATAGTCACATGCATAGCAAAAATTTAAGCATTAAAATCAAGTAAATTAATTAAACATTAAGCTAAACATACGAAAACATGCTTATGCTATGTGCAAAGGCTTAAGTCGTTACAATCTCCCCTCATTTTAAAAATTCTATCCTCATAATTAACTTACTCAACTCTATCACAATGTACGTCCTCCTTCACTTATTCTTTGCCATACTACAATAGCATTCATACACTTACCATGATGCACAATGCATGTATAAGCATATTCATGAAGGATCATACATCTTATGAAGATGCGGAATAGATAAAAATTTTGCTCCATCTAAGGACCCAAGATCATGCCATTGAATTAACTAATCATGCATACATGAAAAATAAGATAAAAGTATAGGATTACCTCTTATAGCATAGATCTAAATTTCTTTTCTTTGATTAGCTATCCAAGTGTCCAGCCTCTATTGATGATCCACACGACCTCAAATATCCACAAAGAATAACTCAAAATTGATGGGGTGCTAGCTCTACTTTTTCGATTAAGTTTTTTCATTAGAAATCAATCTCGGGCAATTTTGTGACAACTTTAAAAGAGAAGGTAAGAGTATTTCTTGCTAGGATTTTGGAGAAAAATATTTTCTTACTCTTTTTCCTTTTGGCCGTTTTCCCCTTTTAGTTTGGAGGCTAGTTGAATTTTCTATTAGGCTTTTTTTATCCTTGGCTGAAATTCTCTATTTTGTTATCTCTCTCTCTTTATCGCCCTTTAATTCCTATTTATAGGAAAGGAGTTTCCTTGTCCTCCAAGGACAAGGAAAGTTGCGACTTTAAGTCCATAAAGGACTCTAAGTTGTTGCTTCCTTATCCTCCAAAGATAAGAAGTTATTTTATATGTGGACTACTTGATGTTTATCTTTAAAACATTCATCCTTATCCAATAAGGTTGATGTTTATCCTTCCACCAAAATTATCTTAAGGCTTTTAATTAAACCTAATGGGCCAAAACTATTTTAGCCTAATTAATTTATTTTGACTATCCAAATAAATATTCTTA